GTTCTAGCCCTCTTACTGCGCCCTGGTTTTTCCTCATTTGAAGATCCATTTGCAGATTCATAAGTTCTCTTATTTGAACTTGGTGTTTCCCTATCTTTGTAAGGAAATATGTTTTCAAAGAATACCGCATTCCTTGATTCAATTATGGTACCCTTGTATACATCTTGAGTATCGGATTTGTGTACTAGGAAACGATATGCACTACTATTATTGGTGTCTCCAATAAATATGCAATCGATCGTTTTGAGACCAATTTTAATTTGTTTAGGCTTGGGTACTTCAACCTTTGCCAAACACCCCACACTTTTAAGTATTGATAGGAAGGAAAATGACCTTTCCATAACTCATATGGTGTCTCTTCCATTTTCTTAAGCGGTATCCGATTGAGAAGACTATTTACCGTTAAGATAGCTTCCCTTCACAAGTTTTGAGGTAAACCCAAAATTATTAACATTGCATTCATCATCTCTTTAAGAGTTTAATTTTTGCGTTCAGCAATTCCATTCGATTAAGGAGAGTATGGAGCCGTTGTTTGATGAATGATTCCATGTTCGAAACAGAATTCTTCAAATGGTGCCCCATATTCACCTCCTCGATCACTACGAATTTTTTAATTCGTTTGTCAAATTGCGTTTCAACTTCAGCCTTATATTGTTTAAATACATTTAAGGCTTCGTCTTTGCTTCTTAAAAGAAAGACATAACAATACTTTGTACAATCATCGATAAAAGTTATAAAGTATTTCTTACCACCTCTAGTTTGAACGAATTTCAAATCACATATATCACTATAGATTAATTCTAGAGGTACCGTGTTCCTTTGAATTGAATGGAACGGTGTTTTAGCCAATTTTGCTTCAACACATATTTTGAATTTGTGATTAGGATCAATTTCAAGCGCCGAAATTCAACTTTGATTCATAAGTTTGCGCAATGAATTATAATTCGCATGTCCTAATCAATTATACCATAAACAAGACTCAAGCAAGTAAACATAATTTGTTACTGTATTCAAAATGCCTTGTTTCGGTACAACAGTTAGAATGTTCATCTTGAACATTGCGTCATATATGTATCATTTTCCTATATACATCTCTTAGACAACACAAATTTATCGGATACAAATACAAGTTTGAAACCATTTTAACTAAGAAGAGATCCAGACACAAGATTCTTTCGAATATCCGGCACATATAGGACGTTGTTGAGGACTAGCTCTTTTCCAGATGTCATCTTTAAAGTGACTTTGCCTTGTCCTTCAATCTTGGAACTTGAAGCATTCTCCATGAATAGTTGCTCCCGTTTCAGTTCTTGATAGTTGTAAAACATTGCCCTATCAGCACACACATGATGGGTTACACCGATATCTACCCACCATTCCCTTATGTTTCCAACCATGTTGCATTCGGACACAATTGCAGATAGACTCATCTCCTGCATTCATTTTGAAAGGTTGTCCTTCTCAATCATGTTGGCTTGAGCAGGTTTCCTAGGCTTTCGACATTCATTTGAACGATGTCCGGGCTTTCCACAATTATAGCATTTTCCTTCGAACCTTTTCGCCTTCTTGGAGTTATCTCTACGCGGTGCATCGTTTGAGATTTTTCGTTTCTTGTTCAAAGGCCTTTCTTCTGTTTCAACAAAGTTTGCTTCAAGTTGGTCAATATTTCTCCTTTCATTTTTCCTATTGTCTTCTTCAATTCTCAAGCGAACGATCAATTCTTCCAAATTCATCTCCTTATATTTGTGCTTGAGATAGTTCTTGAAATCTCTCCACATAGGAGGGAGTTTCTCAATGATGGTAGCCACTTAAAAGGATTCACTTAGTTCCATCTTTTCGGCATGTATGTCGTGCAAGAGGACTTGAATTTCTTGCACTTGGCTTATCACAGTTTTGATATCTACCATTTTGTAGTCCAAAAACTTGCCTACAATGAACTTCTTGGTTCCGGCATCCTTAGTCTTGTATTTATTTTCCAAAGAATCCCACAATTCCTTAGCTGAGTTTTTAGAACTATACACCCCATATAGTGTATTGTCCAACCCATTCAAAATGTAGTTTTAGCATAGAAAGTCTAAGTGCTTCCATGCATCCAATGCAATAATCGACTCACGATTATTTTCTCCCTCTTGTACAGATGGTGCGGTCTCTTTTAAGAACTTTGCCAAATTTAGGGTAGTGAGATAGAATAACATCTTTTGTTGCCGTCTTTTAAAATCCACGCCACTAAGCCCCCGTTTGAGCTCCATTATTTCTCATTACATTAAATTAAGTTTTTCTCTCTCATACTTTTAACCACACAATCTTCAATAAAATAATATTACACTTATATCAAAAACTTTTCAACCACTCATTTTTTAAAAAAAACACTATTCATCTCATTATAATCTACAAATAATGGGGCTCAAACAGCCCCTAAATTTTTTCGATTTTTCACCATGCGGGATTGAAGTGTTTATCGCCATAGTCGTAACCATGTTTGTACCTTTTTGACTTGAAGCCTCTACAGTACTCATTTCTGTTACAAAAACAGAAGGTTATCACAACGCAAAGTAAGGGAAAGGAACAATGCACAAAGACTATTCCAAAATGAAGAACAAAGTATGGGTTAAACCAAAACAAAATCAAAACAACCACCGACAAATATTGTCTTAAGATTGTTGGTTCTGGAGTTTATGCGAGTGATATGGTGGTTGTTGATGTTTGTATCAAAACAAATTACTGTTTAACCCGTAGGAGCATGATCAAACTATCGATATGTAAACTTGGAAAGTGTAGTACAAAATCACAAAATAAAGGTATCAAAATGAAACAAGAAAAGGAGAAGAAAAAGAAATAAAATCCGAGGCAAGTGATGACACTTTCTCCTTAAGACAATATTGTCCCGCTATGGTGCTCATGATTGACAGTACTTGTCTTCCAAGATACAACGGATGTTTAATCTTGTGGTAGCAGCACTTCACACCACAAGAACTGACGAATCGACGAAATTTCTCCCTCTACAAAGGGATTTTATGTAAGAAAAAGGGAGAGAGATTTTGCAAGAGAAGACGAGTACTCAATGCAAAATATAAGTTGATGTTCTCCTAGGGACATCCAAGGGGTCCTATTTATAGAGGAGGAAGGGGTGTGGAAGAAGTAGTGTGGGCCAAATCGTGCAATCTTTCGAATAGTTGCAACATTCCATTTTCGCTAGCTTTTCACTCGAGCAGCGCTTCAAAAATCCGAGCAAAACATACTTTGCTCACTTTTTGCTCGAATTTCGCTCGAGCGAACGAGACTGTCGCTCGAGCGAACATCAAGCGACGATGACGCTGTTGCTCGAAAGAACATCGAGCGACAGTGTATTTTAGCCCTTTTCCACCGTATTTTCCTCCAATATTTGGACCACAATTTCTCATTCACCCGGAATTAGTTTCTAATGTCCAAATATACTACGATCATCTAATCGATGAGTAGAACATGTTGGCTTTACTTTTGTAATTTGACCATCGGATCAAGTTCGAACATTCGGCCGAAGTTGACACATTAGTTACACTTTCCGATTTCAATTTTTACTTAACCAATTTTCGATCTTTCAAGTTAATTTGGAAACCAATTTCCAACAGTCAGCAAGTTAAAGAACAATTTAATCCCAATGTAGGTGCAATAGGAAAAGACTAAAAGAAATTTCAATCAAGCAACCTCAATTTGCAAAATAGTAGGTATACATTGAACAAATAAAAAAGAAGATGGCTCCACGACAACAACTCTTTCAGCAAATCAATGAACCATAATTATTGCATTAGATAGAAAAATAGGATACAAAATCATTGTATTCATTGGATGTTTGGCCACAAAAAATGGATCAGTTCGACCAAGAATGGTCTAATAATGTGTAAGAAATAAAATATTTAGACTCCATAGCAAAATTAGGAACTCGGTTTAACGTCCACAATTAAATCAACCGATTTAACATAAAAAACTGATTTACCCATAAAATTTATTCATTCTTTAGTTTGAAGTCTTTTTAATGTCTGTTAGACTCTTTGAAATGAAAATTTCATTAGAAACTTGCCTCCAATACATCTGCCAATAATATATACTTACAGCTATGACTTGTGAATTTGAGAATTGTGTCATCATTGAATATTGTACATGTGGCGAGGACTGAACGAATGGTGTGTCGGGTCGAAGATTGTTTTTTGCTGCTCTCGATCTCTATCCTTTGCTGGAAGTCGATGCTGCCTGCATGACATGAGAATAATTGACATTTTCACTTCGTTCAAATTTATGTACGACACATGATAAAAATGTGTGAAAGAAAAATAACATTTTTTTTCCTTTGAGCTTGACTCCAATGAGCTTTTATGACGAAGTTTCTTTGGTGCATCCTTTCTTTTTGAACATTTAGGATTTTGTATTGTACCACTGCCAGTGTCATGTGATGCTCTAGATTGTGAATCTAAATGCAAACTAGGCTGCGAACCTAAATGCAAATTAGATTGCGAAATGCTATTACTTACCCAACTCGTCTTCGTAGACATCATGTCTTTGGACTACGATTGAATCCAATCTATTATCGCACGAGTTCGCTCTTCATCGTTGGCAGCACTGTTTGCCAACATCGCGAACACTTCACCCATTTTATCATACCTCAACTGGCTAGGAGTGCTAACCAAACCGGAGTAATTCACAACAACCCTCGTGTGGGCTCTACTAATATCTCGTCTCCATCTCTTCAATATGTTCCTCTCCAATAGTGATGTGACGCCATGACGCATCAACACTGATATGTCATGTCTACACAAAATGCTACGAAACTTGAATAAGTGGCAACTGCAAATAACATTGCAATCCTCTGCTCGAAATGTGACTGAAAACTTTTTCTTTCTAACATTTTCTTTGTAAATGACATCCTCCTCAACCTCATACAACTTCTCCGAACATATATCAAATGCAGATATCATATCGCAGTAGACATTCCCAGTTATCTCATCTTGAAATCCCCAAAATTTTGAAATGGTATAAACAACCTGGAATTGCTTTTCCATTTCATATTTTGTTGCACAGAATACCATCTATGAGTAAGACTTGAAATCTGTTTGGAATTCCTTCTCAAATTTATTTCGTAATGCTCGCTTATATTGTTCGACGAACTATTTCAACGATATCTTAGAATGCACATAACCATCGAAGAACACATTCATACTCTCACTGCGCTGAGTTATTGACATCTCCGCCTAAAATGTTGTTTTTAAATAACATGGCACCCAACGACCCTTGTTCTCAAACAACCCCAACAACCAATCATTCTTATGTAAGTTATATGTATCAAGCATAGCTTTCCAACCTTCTTAGAATTCCTCAACGACTTGTGTATCATACACTAAGCTATGTATAGACAAAAAAATGGAGCCCTTCTGAACGTGGTACCCAAACTTCTCCGGCAACTTTTTCAATATATGCCACAAACACCATCTATACCTCGACTTTGGAAAGACTATCGCAATTGCATTTTGCATAGTCTTGTCTTGATTGGTAATGATTCCATTTGGTGCTTGACCATGCATACACTACATCCATGTCCTGAATAGCCAAACAAATGTATATGTATCTTCATTTGCCAACAAACCACATCCAAAGAGTGTTGATTGTCCATGATGACTTACTCCAAGGAAGGGGGCAAAAGGCATGCCGTATTTATTTGTGAGCTAAGTGGTATCAAACGTCACTGCATCCCCGAACTCCTTATATGCTTGCCTACACTTCTTATCTGCCCAGAAGAGATTCCTAATCCGTGACTCTTCATCTAAATCCATATAGAAGTAAAAACCTAAGCACTGTGCTTGCATTTGTGAAAGGTAGGATTGTATTGTCGCAACATCTCCTTCACCGAGTCTTAATCGCCTCACTTGTTCAATGTAATTTTGACAATCTTTTTCCACGCAAGTCATGTTCTCATACCCGTCTGCTTCAACAACTGATGAGTTGTAACTCTTGTGCAAAGGTATTCCAGTCATATCGTTCACTTCGAGCTTGCGTTTGACATTTGCACTCAATTCTCGATTGCAACGATACAATCTGGATTTTGAAGGACTAGTTTTATGATTGTGTTTGAGATCAATTGTGCGAATTTTCCAAATTCGACGAATATCGAAGTAGCAGTAAGTCTTTCTTTGCAACCTGTCTGAATTGTTGGATGCGGCTTCAAAGAAGCACCTGCATTACTACTTCTCCAGCCCTCACGACAACATGTCAACGTAACGTAATTCACTACTCCATCTTCTCCCTTTCTAGAATTCTTCCTCCTAACCGGAAAACCTACGTGATACGCATACCTCTTATAAAACTCATACACCTCTTTCTCATCTTTGAACTCCATACCAATTTGGCACAATCACGCCATCTCCTCCTATGATATCATCGTCTAATGTGACAACATTGTTTGTATTATTGACGACATTCTCCGTATTGTTGTTATTATTGGATTCTACTAAAACTTCATTGTCCAATACTTCCACAACCTCTTTTCCTGCATCATATTAAATGACAATATTAATTTTGAGTATTGTTCAAATGTTCATGGAAATCTTGCTTCAATAATATTAGAAATGAAATAAGAAATTTGCCCGAGCAGTGAAAATACATAGGTTTCGAAATAGTGCAACTTCGAAAAATTACAATGACATTACCTTTCTCCATCATTCTGTCCATCCATATGCCACCAAGTTGTTTCCAGATTCTATACACATTTTAGACAGTATGATCTTAATGGACACTAATTTAAAAAATAAAATAATAATAATAATTATTCGAACACAAACACAAACCCAACCCTGAATGAATTTAACATCATAAAAGGATAAAAGGATAAAAGAAGAGATTTTCTAATTTTTCTTCCACAAAATGTCAAATAATTACAATGAGAATAATTACGTTAAACATCTAAAGTGAAAATCTGCAGCATTTTGCGTCGAAATGGGTAATGTTCCTCATCAAAATAATTACCTTTCACAAGTGAAGTAGCTAAATCCCCGTCGGAAGAAACTAGTTTGATTGCATGGTCGCGGTCTCCTTCAGCCGAAAGTCTTAGGTGAATCGGAAGGTTTCAAGCTCGGGTTAACGAAGGAAGCATGTGGACATAATTTATTTTGGTGGAAAACAAGTTCTTACCTTCAATCCCACACTCAGTCCGGCGATTTTTCTCCGAATTTTGGTGGAAAATTTCGGAGGGTTTTTCTCTGAATTTTACTTTTCTGTGTGCAAGGGACCCCGAAACCCAGTTAGACAAATATGGGTTGTTTAGAATATTCAACAGTGTTAAAGGCAAGCATGATTTTCCCACCAATTTAAGTGGTCACGTGACCAAAAAATTCACAAAGCTGTGCACAGCAGTGTACAAGAGGCATTATTGTACACAATATACGTTGCACAAGATAAAGCAGAATTTGATGCTAGTAAATCTTAATTTAATAATGATATGGTTAATCCTTTTTCACATTTAGATAATTGTGACTATATAATAACATATTATTTTCTTTTGCTAATTATTTAAAAGGCACATTTTTAAAACATAAAATAATACATATTAAACTTGTTTCTTTGAATTGAAATAACTTGGACTTAACTTATATGAACTTACATTTTCTCAAGCCCAATCTATATTATTTAATGCGAGCTACAAAATGAGCTCTATATTGATATCATTTTTTGACATTATATGGAAGCCTACTTTTAAATATTACATTTCAAAAATCAAAATTATAATTTACATATACAAAAAATAGATGATAATATAATATTTAATATTAAATAATAGTATTATAAAATTCAATTAATTATATACTCACATCCCAAATCCTAATATTTATTTCATTCATCATTTTCAATCAATTTCCTCGCTCTCTCTACCATGCCTCTTCTTCTCTCTATCTTACCGAGCACCGCCATCGACAGCCATCATCGCAGATCGAGCAGTGCATTGCTATTATGACGACATCCCTGTAGTGATCTATGATTTGGGTTTGGTTGTTGATCTACGTTGGACTCGATGCGTCTGTGTTGGGCAGTGTTGGTGGGTGGTGGCAGAGGCGCCTCGTCCAGTAAATGGTGGTGGCGATGGTTTTTGTTTGTGGTGATAGTGGCGGATTTAGTGGTGGATCTGGTAATGGATGTGGGTTTTGTAGGACCGACGATGAATTTGACAATGGGGACGAGAGTGGTGATTTTGTTGATACAGACGGTGATGCGCATTGGTTTTTATTGACCTAGGCGGTGGTGTTGGATTTGGCTATGGAGGCAAGTTTTGTTGGACCGACGATAGATTTAACGATGGTGTTGTCGGATTTGGTGATGACGATGACAATGATTTTGTCGATATAGACAATGGTGAGCGGTGATTTTTTTTTATGTAGGCAGTGGTGGTGATGGTTTTTGTTGACACATTTTGCCCGACTTTCGAGACTAGGCGTCACATAGACGAATTGTTTAGAGCACTGATTATAATAAAACAAAGCTAAATATGTCAACATCACAATTTTTAACAACTATATAATATTTTAATTACAATAAAGTTTCATAATCTTTACACGGTATATCATTTATATCCCCATCGTATTTTCATCACATTCATAATCTCATACTAACACTTGTCCTTGATTACGATTTTTAGATTAAAAAAATTAATTAAGATATTGTGAAAAAAAAAACATATTTCTTCATTATATTTCTAAATAAGTGAACATAAATAAAATAAAATTGAGACTAATTATTTGTCCTTCGTTTTAAATCATGCTAATTGTGTTTTTGGACGAAAATCGTGATAAATAACAAGATTTGCTAGTTAATGGAATGATTAAATTAAGAATGTGATAAAAAAAGTATAAATATGATAAAATTTAAGATTTTTTAATATAATTAAAATGTGATGTATTTATAAAAGATATTATGTGAATTTATTATAATGAGGAAATTAGGCTTCCTATTCTAAAAAGTGAACAAATTTGATTAAAACACTTAAATAAATTAAAACATCTAATGACCATAATAATTACGCCCTGAAATCTCCCAAAACCCTTAGTGTTGCTCCCATGGCTTCCAAACCCATTTACCCTTCTCTCCCTTTCTTTCTATCTTCAAAAACCTAATTAAAAAAAATCCCTAATTGTCGTCTCCTTCACCAAACCTCGATTTCAAGTGAAAACTCACATCCGACACGGATTTGGTCGGTGATTATGGAGCCGGGTCCCATTTCCAGCAGAGATAGAAAGCAATTTTGGTGAGAAATTGCTGGGAAATGTAGACACTGAGCATAAGATTTTGATTCTAACTGCTGTTGCTCTATCTCTTTCGCAACAACAATGTACTCCATTTTTCATATAGATAAGTCTTGGTGTACATAAAATATGTACATAAGGGCTTTCACACCCCTCACATGGGGTGGGGCTCACCTCGTGCAGGTCTCACCTCACGTGAGAGGTGTGGACACCCCTATGTACCCAGATTATGTACACCAATCGTAAATGTTCTCATCTTTAGCAACCTATACCTGAGGATGAAGCCAATAAGATGCTGTTCAATTCTTGGCGATAGCTCTCAATTCTCCATTCTAGTTTTCCACTCTACCTGTCAAGAGTCATCTTCCACTAATACCAATTTGTCGAACTCCTGTATCAATGGCTGTTTTCCAATCGAAACAAGAGCAAATATGAAGACAAAAACTAGAAACAATACATCTTTGACTAAACTTTTAATTTGTTTATAAGAATTTCTTTTGGATATTAAATTCTATCAATTTTGAGTGATAAATATCAATTTTTTTTTAATAAAAGTACACATTGTATGTTATTTTTTAATAAAAAAGTGACATAGAGTGTTTGTCACCCTTTTTTTTCGATCACTTTTCTTGAATTTGTGTCACTTTTTAAATCTGTCTTTTTTTTTTTTAGTTTGTCACTTTTTGAGTGTTGTCACTTTTTTTTTTCTATCACATTTTTTTTATTTGTGTAACTTTTTAGAATTCGTCACTTTTTTGAATTTTTGTTATTTTTATTAGTATTTGTCACTTTTTAAAAAATCTCGTCACTTCTTTTTATTGTTTGTCACATTTTTTCACTCATCTTCTTGATATTTATCCTTCTTTTTAGTAACAAACATCAATTTTTAATAAAAGTGAAGCCTCTGTTCAATACATCATGACGGAAGCTAACTTTGGCTTGTTAATCCGATCAGTTCATCGATGGTCTGCAAGTATGATGGTCCTAGATACCTAACATAATGTATGAAAGGATCTTTGAACAAGCATAGACTGGTCTGAAAATCCTTAACAAAGACGTCTTTCATTTGTTTTCGGAAAAAAATGAAGAATTTCTTGGGAATCCTACAAGATCCGTTCATAAGCTGTGTTCAGGGGGATTATTGTCTATCGTTGGCCTCTATGGTAGAGTAGTGGCAGCGAAATGGGATGTGCCAGAACTAATAACATTCAAGATTATGCAGGATTATACACGAAAGATCCTTTTTTGACTCTCTCTTTAGTCCAATCCAAATATGCATGATAGAATCAAAGTGATTTTTACTTCAATTTTTTTAATAAAATGTGTCAATTTTATTTTTTTACTAAAAAGTGACAATTTTTATTAAAAAAAGTGACATTGTGTCACTTTTTAATATTACACAATATTATTTACTTTCAAAAAACTTTTCATATAATTTTTCAAAAAACCTTTAACTTTAAGGGTATTTTTGTCACCCTAATATAAAAAGTTTTTGCGTAAGCAACATTTTTAAAATGAGTTGGACTTGGGGTTTTCCCCAATGTTCATGACCATTTTTTTTATAGCTTGACAATCCAATTTGGTCCAACTAAAGATTGGTAAAAGAGGAAATTACAGAATCATAGGTACTTGGAGATCCCAATGCAAGAGTCAGGTTCCAAAATTGTTTATGCAAATTTTAGGTTTCAATTTAATTATTATATATTTAAATATTAAATTAAAACACAATAAAAGCCGATTTCAACTCCCATTTAGCAAACCCTAGATCTCTCTCCCTCTCTCAATTTCATCTTTATCCCTCTCCCTACGCACACTCTCTCTATTCTAGCCGGTTGATCGGCGCCTTGCAGTGGCTCCATCAGGGAAGGTGGAGCGGCGCACTGTGATGGTGTCCTAGTTTTGTGATTGCGGTGGTAGTGGAGGTGTGCTGTTCTATGGGGGGGGAATGGAGATCTCGACGCGGTGCTGTGCGCGATGGCTGTAACGACATGGTGATGGCACAGATCGAGGCTGCAGTGATTTTATGTTTTTGGTGGTTTTAGGATTATTGTTGTGGCTACGGCGGCGACAACATTTATTGGCGCAGGTTGTGGAGGTGGTTGATTTGTGGTGTATTTGTGCTGATTTGTGTCATTTCTGTGTGTATGGATCTAATAGTGGTAGTTGTGGTATTTTTGTTGGCAATGTGTTGGATCTAGTGATGGCGACATTGTTGGTGGTGGTGACCATTTGGTTGCTCTGTGACCAATCATTGGTGGTGGATTGGGTTCGGCAATGGAGTATTTGGTATATGTGACCAACGATTTGGCATGTGACCTTAAAATTTGACAATCTGTGATCTCAACGATTTGGTCTGTGACTTTGAAATTTGATAATCCGTGACTCTGTGACCTCTAAAATTTTTGATCCGTGACATCGAAATTATTTGTGACTTATAAATTTTTTTATATATGACCAGTAAATAAATTTGTGACCAATTAATTTGATGATATGTGATTAGTAAATAAATATGTGATCATTAATTATTTAACTGTGATTTTAATATATTTATTTAATAAATATTTTTTAATTAATTAAATACAAAGCTGAATTTTGAATTTTCAAACTTCTTACCTAATTTTTGAAATGGTGTAAAGGATGCACGTAAAATATGAATTTTTCCCAAAAGAGGAAAATGAAGTATGGCCCAACTAAACTTTTCCCTGATGCAATTAATCTAGTGTAACTTTTATATTTTCAAAATACTATATATTTCTCAATTAAGAATAAGAACAAATTATTTGTTTAAAGGGTAATTGGCACAAAACATCCCTACCTTTCAAGATTTTTGTGGAAAACGTCAGTACCTTTTATTTTTTGGCAATTTCACCCCCCCACCTTTGCCTTTTATTGCGAAAAACGTCCCTACATCCACTCCCCGTTAAAATGCACCATTAAATCAAAGAAAATGAGTTTTTTTTTTTTTTTTTTCAAAAGGCAAGGATAAGATTGTCCAAACACATTGGTTCTACATTGAGGCTTCATTGCCGCCTTCTTCAAATGTTATGCATAACTAAAAAGTAATATGAAAATAAATAAAATAATTTGTAAAGAAATATTTCATTCAATACATAAGGAAAAATGATAGAAATTATTATATCTATGGTTGAGCTTCATTATAGATACTGTAATGCTTGATTGTTAAAATTTTTTTGACAATGTATATGAAAAGAATGAATATGTGGTCGATAAAATTGAAATGTTCATTCCCATTTTGTTCTTACGAAAGGTGTAAATAAAGGGTAAAGTGAGAAGATCAATTAAAATGTGATTATGTGAATGGGCAATACTTAGAAATGGAAAAGATGAAGAAGATAAACGGGTCTTCTTCCCAATTTAATGTGAAGTTGAACTTATGGTGACAATCCCTATCTTTATATTGTCTTGCGCAAAACATCCATACCTTTATATCGTCTTTGTGCAAAACACCCCTATCTTTTCATTGTATTTGCGCAAAACATCCCTACCTTTGTTAAAAATTGTGAAAATCGTCTCTACATATTTTAAGGCAGAGACAACCCTGTTTATATATCCTGCAATGGAATTTCCCTAAGACGCATTTCGAACACAGCAAAATCAGTAATCAACGACTAAGCTCAATTACCAAACCCAGCAAAATCAATACTCAACAAACAACATTAATAACCAAATATATCAAAACCGGTACTTAACAATTAACATCAATAACCAAACCCACTGCGAAGAAAAAATAAGGGCCACATAATCAGAAAGTGCTTTTTGGACATCAATAACCCAACCCATTGATGCGTTATGAAGGGGCGGGATTGAAGCCAACGAAGAGAAATGTGTTTGGACGATCTTAACCCTACCTTTTGATTATAAAAATTCCAATTTCCTTGATTTAACAGTACATTTTAATGGAGGGTGGATAGAATGACGTTTTGCGCAATAAAAGGCAAAGGTGATGGTGAAATTGTCAAAAAATGAAAGGTAAAGGCTTTTTCACAAAAAGTTTGAAATGTAGGGACGTTTTGTACTAATTGCCCTTGTTTAAAAATAATTTATTGATGGACCTAAAATTGTATCTTCAAATAATTTAGTGAATATTATAAAAAAAAAAACTTAAAGAACAAGCATTTTTCGTAATTGACACACTTTTTCCCCTTAAGTATAAAACACATAGGAAAGATAAACTTAAATAATTAAATTTGGTTCAATGATTTTTTTTTTTTTTTTACAAGAAAATGGATTTCAGGTGAAAAAAATATTCAGGTGGAATCACTTTGTGCACTAAGAAGAAAAAGATTAGTTTTCTTCTAGCTACAAATTTTTTTTACTTAAAGTAAAAATAAAATAAAAAAGTCAAGAAAATATAGTTTAAAATTATAGAATTATGCTACAATCACATGATGGTCGACATAATGTTACATGACATGTTAGCATTGGATTGTTTTAAATATGATAAGTTTTTTGTCCAATTACATCTTGCTAAATCACATTATGTCACTTCATTGTCAACCACTTCCATTACAGTGGAATAACCATAAATTATATTATAAAGACAAAAGAAAGGTTGAGAAATTCATATTTGTATATTGGATGATAAGACTTACATAAATTTTAAAAATGAGATAATACTAGTGTAGTTTACTCTAATAAATGTTATAGACACAATTACCTCTTGTTTAATTTAATCCATTAAAAAAATATAATTCTATTGACTAAGAGCCTATTTGAAATTGTCAAATTGATGAAGAATACATGGTCAAAAAATAAAAATAAAAAAATTTAAGATTGTGTGTAATATTATTTTATTTAAAAATGTATGGTTGAAGAGAGAAAAATGAATTTCAATAATAATGGGAATAAATATAATTATTATCGAGAACTCATTCTTATTTGGAATTCAAAGATTTCGAGAAATAGATTGGGAATAATGCTACTAAAGATGTATATGTTAAAGAATGATAAAGAAGATAGCAGCAATTTTTTCAATTTAAAGATAAATTTCAACGTGTTTTGATCATAATTAATTGTTGACATTGAACTGCATTAAAATCTGAATTTTATTTTTCACCAAAAATGAACATATATGTTTCACTTGATAGACAATCGAACATATTGAAATTGGCACAATTATAAACAATTTAGCCTCCGTTCATACACAATTTAATTTATAAATAAATAAAAATTAAAAATGAATAAGTGAATGATACTTATTGATACAAATATCGACGACTTAGAAATACCAAATTCGCTGATTACATATCAAATTAAAATAATTGTTGAAAAATAAAAGGATTGAATTGAACAAATCAATAATTAAGGGAATATTTGAGATTTTCCCAAACCTGAAGGGCCAGAATTCCTATTTTGACATCTCATTTTCCCCCTTTCTTACAAATAGACCTGCACCTTTCGATTACAACTCAAACAAATTCTGTAGTGAAATCAGGCCAAGAGGAGTATGGGAGGAGGACACGGCCACGGCGTAACGTACAAAGGCGTAACATTGCACCAACCCAAGCGGTGGCATACTGTTACTGGCAAGGGCCTATGTGCCGTCATGTGGTAAATTCATTCACTCGATCGCGATCATGAGTCGAAAGATGTTGCTTTAATTTCTTATTGATTATTGTAATTACTTTAGATCTGGTGTGCATAGAAAATTGTGTAACTGTTTATTCGTTTCAGGTTTTATTTTATTTTTGCTAATTGAAGATGGAAGTGTATATAACCACTGAATTTATGACCTATTTATGAGAAATTTAGTCAAGAATATGGGTGATGGTTTATTTTTGGGTACATTTCCTTTTGGGTAGGAAGGAAACCACATACAAACCAAATAATACTTCAGACCCCCATAGCTAACCCACATATATGTATATATATGTATGTATGTATATATGTATACAGATATACATGTATATATGTATACATATATATATTCTAATAATTAATTGTAGTATATTCTAATAATTAATTGTAGCTTAGTGGCTACTAACCACCCACTTAGTGGGTATTAACCACTCACACACATTTTTGGAGCATTTTCCCATGTTGACATGATGAGGTGTCTTTGCTGTTATTATGCTTAAGAAAGTGTAGCAGTAGATAAATTTCCACCGCACACAATATTGGAGCTTTGGAAATTAGATTATCTCTTTTGTCACAATAGGGCTGGAATTATTTCCATGTTGTACTAAAATAATGCTTGAGGTATTGAAGAACGAGTATTGTGGCCGTGCTCCTAATGTGCTATGAGTCTATACGCTCAAACAGGGGTTGGAATATGACGAATGACTGTAAATGTGGGCCCACCATCATATCTTTCTCCAGTAAGGTTGCATGTTTATATTTTGAAGTCTTTCTGAGTGTTCTTTTGCAAGGGTCCTTGTTATAAAGGTTCTGCTGAAGGCATTGTCCAATAAAAGGCATTTTCACCATGGGTTGTGAAGCCATACAAATTAATCTTGCACCTAATTTGTCTGAATAAGAGCCCCTTCCCTCCAAAATGAAAAAGAGAAGTAATTCCTATTGAATGGTGATAGATTGTGCCGTGAAGCGGAAAGGTGCAAAAGGAGGATACGCCATTGGGGACTGTTGCCCCATCTTGTTGCCTACATAGTATTCTCCCATATTGCTTGGATTAGTTAGACACTATTTACATTTTTTATGATGAATAAAGGCCTTCTGAATATTCCAGTAGGGAGATTTTATAATGATGCTTAATTATGAGTTGGTTTGTAAAATTGGAAGCCCAATTCACATAGAAATGTTAAGAACATAATCATTTGGATCTCATCAACCGACATTTATTTATTTATTATTACTATTAATCTTTTTTATTATTGATTTTGCCAAGAAAAAAAGTCTTACAGAATATCAATACATGCACAAATCAATGCATGCGATGCATTAACCTTTGTTCTTTCATTATCATCTTGACTGAAAGTTTTAAAGATCTTCTCACAGTAGATTAGTGAAATAACAGTATCCATGATACTCAATATGTAAGCATGTGTGTTCCATGCACTATATTGAAATTTTCTATTATCATATTGCTTTTCAGCTATAAATCGACATGGTTGTTTTTTCAGGTTTTGGATTTTGTACAGGGCAAAGAAAGATGGTCCTGTAGTATTGGTGAGCTAAAATGAATTTTTTTTTTTTTACCCTTTTTATCATTGATTAGAATTTAGATGTGATGTTTTCCTTCTTTTTCTTAATGATTTAGCTGAACGTTTAGCATAAAGATTTTCTCACACGGTTCCCATGCTTTCAGGGCTGGAGGCATCCTTGGGATGGCCACGAAGATCATCATTAGGTAATCTTCCTTTCTTTCTTATCTCTTTCTTTTTTTGGTCTAGAACTAGTAAACCCTACTTCCATCTTGCTAAGAATGACATTATTTCCATATTAATTTATAACAAATAATGGTCTCTCCATAAATATCTTTTTTCATTCCAAATATGATTTCATTTTAAAAAATGCTAACAAACAGCCTCTGCTCAGGTTTTGGTGAACCAAAAAGTAATTACAGTGTGAACAACATAATATCCCTTGATGAAGAGACGTGACTATGTAATCAAATTACAGTTTGTTTTATGGACAACTTCGTGATTTTGATTGGTTTAATGATTGACGTACTACCCTGGTTCCTGACAAGAATTATACTATGAAGATACCTGGCTTCAACATTGATCCCTCATAAGTCATAATAGTATCAATGTGAAATAGGCCACCACACCTAATTGGATTAGGTGTGAGCTTGGGTCACGTGTGCGGAAGGGTCAGCAGATACCATCTCACGTTAGTTGAACAATACTCCCAGAGCACTGGCTAAGTAAAATTGGACAGCTCATTTGACAGTCATTTGATCTTGGGATGGAAGCCCATGTTAACCAACTCATTAGAGAACGAGGGGTAGGATGGGACCAATGTTTACTGATCCAGATGCGTTTATTAAGAATTAGTTAAGAGTAGAATGACATTGATTTTCTTCCCTTTTTCCTGGAGAATAGGAGTGGTGGTAGTGTTAAGTGGATTATTTTGAGAAATATGTGAGCTACACTAAATCTTCAAGAACTTTATGGGAGCATTGGTCCGGTCCTACCCCTTGTCCCATGGTCTTCTCCTTGGCTGTGGTCTGTGGTTTAATGTTTTGTCAGTTTCACCCCTTTGTTGCTGGATAATTTTCTTTTTGAATGGTCGTACACATACTAGTTATGCTACCATAGGCATGAGACGGTAACTGTGCTCGACAGGCATCCTATTTACTGTAATAGTGGTTGTTGCTAATTTTTTAATAAAAGAAATCTAGAAGGGTCCTTGTGAAGTTCACACACAATTTATAGTCGTACTATTTATTTTCCGTATTGTGTTAGATTAATCAAAATTTAACATTGCATACTATGTTGCAGGTTTCCGATGGATAGCCGAAAATGAAATATGAAGCGCTTTACTTATCAGTTCTTGGTATCTTTGTCATTTGGAAATGAACTTGTTTCTGTACAACAATAAGTTGATTGTGTGAAGCGAATGGCTTGAACATGAGATTATGCGCAACTGTTATTTTGTTTGCTGTTTGAATGTTTTCTAAATGCATATTACATTGGATGCTTCTCTTCAATATAGTTTGGTGATCTGCAGTATTGATTTTATTTCTCTTATTATTGATATCCTATTATAAGAACTAGGATTTTTGCTTTACTGAGTTGATAAAATTTGTTTCTAATGCTACTTTAGTGTGGCGTGGCAATACTGTATTGCATTTTTGATGTTTAGTTCAATTGATTTGGGTGGCAAATAATTGTGAACTTGTAGTTTAAATGGTACAGGAAATCTATATTGATCACTACGTGTGTTCTTCACGGGATTGGTCCATGCTAATGGGTTGCGTTCTTCATTAGGGGTGTCTAGTAGCCCATCATGGTATGACCGGTCGAGAGAACGTGAGGTCACCAGGCACAACATCTGTAATCTTCGACTATGGTTGTGCATGAATTTAAGATTTTGTTATTATCAGGACCAGATAAACGACACGAGTGTTGATTATGATTGATGACTTAGAAAATCCTATGGTGTAGTGGGGTTGAGTGTTACCATGTGTATCATTAGTAGATGTTCACCATGAAAGTCGTGGTGTCGTGGACAATTAATTTTTGGTTCATGTTTGGTCCTTATTTTTCGAAAATTCATTTTCAACTCAATTTTTCAATGACATAATTCCTAAACTTTTACTAAAAATCAATTAAATTTTTTATTTTTACTAAATCAAATAGGGGCTTAAGTGCACTCGGGACTCAACTTGTGAAGTCAATTTAACTTCATGCAAGATTGTTAGGCAATTAGCCTAATGAAGGAAAGAACTTTATCCAAGGGTCTCGATTCGGTGAATCCTTTAATCACTATTGTTGAGACTCTATTTGGTCTCAATTTTTAAAATTCATTTATTTTTTTAACTTATTTTCAACCATTAATTTTATGGAATTCATAACTTTCATAAATTTTTCAATTATATTTTTTTCAAATTTTGTCAAAAATTTCTAAAAATTTGATTTAGTCAAACCAAATGGGGTCCCATTCAATGTTTGATTCATTTAAATATGAACAACTAGATCCTTCAATTCAATGCTATTTTCATTCATATTTTATCGGTTCTGATAACTAGCGTTACACCAACTTCATTTTACAAGCATTTTATCTATTAACTATCCAACTGGTCTAATCTTCTAAATATTTGTGCTGAACTTATGTTAAGCACTCGGATGACATGTCACACTATAATAGGTAGTATAATAAATTTTATAAGCCTAAAGCCATAAGTACAGGGAAAATTTGACGGAACTTATATCAACGTTGATGTGACAAAATGTAAGTAGACTGTTTTTTTTTTCCATCTTCTAATAATGTTGCGCCATGTGTTATCTATAAAGTTTTTCTATCAAAAAATTCTGTACTTATAGTATGATTCATTTTGTAATTACCCATTATTTCTCATCACCTATTGTAATGCGCCATTTCACCTTGTGCTTAGTGAGGTAAATTCCTAACTATCGAAAACTCAAAAGTTAAAGTTCTCCGTATCTCTACCAAAATATTGCAATTCTTATCTTCGGAAATTTCTTCTTGAAAGGTGTTCATTACATAACTATTTTATTAATATATTTATTTTTGTTTTACTAAGCTATGTGCTTTATTTTCCAAATTATATACGACATTGATAGTATTTGTATCTAATAATACTATTTTCTTTCCAAGAAAGAAATGAAAAAAATTCTTGCAGAAAATATTATTTTCAAGACTTCTTTTTCTTTTTCATCATACGATAAAAATCAAGAATTAAAGCAGCATTACTGGATAACATTCCACACACGTAGAGGCAACCCAAGCAACATCCCTTTCTATGGTTTCCATTCATTCCTAATTCAATTTTGATTTTTCTCTCTCTCCCATAAAATCACACTCCTAACAAATTTTACATTTCTTTTCCAACCTGCACCAACCCTATAATCTTCAAGATATTGGAAAATTCAAGCATAAGAAAACCTGAAATTGAATTGCAGAACCTCTAATGGCTTTAACATCAACAAACCCTTTACTCTCCTTTAACTTTTTTGGCACCAAAATTTTAATTTCTCCTCCTACACCCAAAACAGTTCCAAGAAAATTCCGAGTACAAGATTCGATTTTTAACAAGAATTCAAAATCTTTGAAGAATGTTCAATCACATGCCACTTTAGCTGCTTTACTGTTTTCTTCGATTACTCCCCAAGCATTGGCAGTAGATAACGCCACCCCACCTGCGGCTTCGCCGCCAGTGCTTCAATCTGAGGCACCCAAGCCTGGTCCGTCGTCTCCCTTTTCACAGAATCTTGTTTTGACGGCCCCAAAGCCACAGGCCCAGTCGACTTCTGACCTCCCTGAGGGATCCAATTGGCGTTATAGTGAGTTCCTGAATGCAGTCAAGAAGGGTAAGGTTGAGAGGGTGAGGTTCAGCAAAGACGGAAGTACCCTTCAGCTTACAGCAGTGGATGGCCACAGGGCTTCTGTGATTCTGCCCAATGACCCGGATTTAATTGACATTTTGGCGATGAATGGTGTTGATATTTCTGTTTCTGAGGGTGATTCAGGAAATGGGTTGTTTAATTTTATTGGAAATCTGATCTTCCCATTCCTTGCCTTTGCTGGGCTTTTCTTTCTGTTCAGGAGGGCACAGGGTGGTCCAGGTGGGCCTGGAGGTCTAGGAGGGCCGATGGATTTCGGCAGGTCGAAATCTAAGTTCCAGGAGGTGCCGGAGACTGGTATCACGTTTGCTGATGTGGCTGGGGCTGATCAAGCAAAGTTGGAGTTGCAAGAAGTGGTTGATTTCTTGAAAAATCCTGATAAATACACTGCTTTGGGCGCAAAAATCCCGAAAGGGTGTCTTCTGGTTGGTCCTCCTGGTACTGGGAAAACCCTTTTAGCCAGGGCAGTTGCTGGTGAGGCTGGGGTGCCATTCTTTTCGTGTGCAGCCTCAGAGTTTGTGGAATTGTTTGTAGGTGTAGGAGCTTCAAGAGTGAGGGATTTGTTTGAAAAGGCCAAATCGAAAGCACCTTGCATTGTGTTCATTGATGAGATTGATGCAGTGGGGAGGCAGAGAGGGGCAGGACTTGGAGGTGGGAATGATGAGAGAGAGCAGACCATTAATCAGCTCTTGACTGAAATGGATGGATTTTCAGGGAATTCAGGTGTTATAGTGTTGGCTGCAACGAACAGACCGGATGTTCTAGATGCAGCATTATTAAGGCCTGGAAGGTTTGATCGACAGGTCACTGTGGATCGGCCTGATGTTGCTGGTAGAGTCAAGATTCTTCAGGTTAGCCAGCTATATTCCCCGAATACCTAGTTTAACTCACAAGGTTGTTTCAAATTCAGCATATTTTCATATTATTAATGCAACAGTATTGATATCATTGGTGTAAGCTGAAAAATTGTTATATATGCATGGAAAAAACTGCAAATTTTAACTGTTTCAAATCCAAGTTTAACAGAATCCTAGCACAATGCTTGCATGAACGATTAGGAGCACAAGTTATTTAGCCTAGTGCTATCTGCTATATGAAATTAAGGATGGCGGATTTGCCATTGGTGGACCTGGTGGAAATCCCTTCCTCGGTCAACAGGTACCTTCTATGCTACTTATTGTTGGACCCTGTGGGGCCTAATTATACTGTAACCTTACTTTGTTATAGTTAAAACACTTGACCCAACGTAGCTCTCTTACCGAGGTTGAACAGCTATATACATTCGTATTCTACACATTCATTCTTGGTCTGGCTGTTGGTCTAGTGAGTCTTCCTAGCCGCCTTGTAGAAAGTCTCAAATTCAGGATCTTCTGTTGTGTGAATTTCCTGAGAAACGAAGTCATAGGCTGTTTTTTTTTTTTTTTTTTTTGGTT